GACGTATAGTTCTCTATATGATTTTCATATATAAAAATCGTGTGTAACATTCGTGCATATTGGATTTCGGTCATGCTAATCAGTAATATATCTAATAATCTATACTTTTATATTAATTTATTAATTCTAATAATATTCACTATTACTACATTGTTATATTTCAATATTCTAAAAACTTTTATCTTTTTCTAAATTACTATTTTCTATAAACTTTTACCAGGCTTAAAATCTAAATAATTTTTTATCACTCTAGTAGATTTAGGTTGCAGATAAATTTTTTCCTGTCTGAGCTCTTATTTTTGCCTGTAATTTGTATTTTTATTTGTACTGGTATAAATAGTAGTAGCCTTATAAATTTCTACAACCGAAAGCCTTGGCAACTGAGTAGTTGTTCAACGGGTGACCCGGGTCGGTTTTACCAAAAAATCCCGACATCAAAAATCTCGACAACCATAATCCCGACGTGACGATTAATATTTAAAGATTAGTAATCACGTTAAATTTTAATTGTCACCTCACGTGATGGCAGTATTATGACCTGTTGAGATTTTGGATATCGGGATTTTTTGGTAAAACCACCCGGGTCAAATCACTAAGTATAATTCTTTTTAACTTAATTTTTAACTACTATTTAATTTTATAAAAAGATGCTTATAATGCTAAAAAAAATAAACAAAATGCTCTTTTAAACTAAAAAATTTTTACTTTTTATTATATAAAAAAATATTTTTAATCCAAATTTTAACATCTTTTAAGTGTTGGTTTCTATCTATTTTTATTTAAAATTATTGTTGTAAATATTTAATTTTATTATTTATTATTATCCCGAATTTTTTTATTCTGTTTTTTTTTTTTTTTATGTTAGAATTTTTTACCAAACAGATAAATTGATAATTACTAATATTAAAGGTTATAGTAAAAGAATTCATCAAATCATTTCTAAACCTACACGACTATTAAATTGCAATCATAATTCTGAAGTGTGGTAATAAGGCTTCGCTTCGTTAAGTCATCACGAAAAATTTCACAAAATTTAGAATATAATTTGGCAAATCTAATAATAAAGAATATAATACAATACTAGAAAAAAAAACTAGCTAGTTTTCATGTGAGTAACCAATCAGGTGACTGATAAGTTCTCTTTATGCTCGAGCAATTATCTACATAGAAACCGAGGTATTTTAATGCGGATAATTTTGATTGGCTGATCAGAAAATAAACAATAATGTGTGTTAAGTGCAATCCTTCAGAAATCCTTTCAATTAATTATATAGATAAATACTAGGTTAGATGTACCTTTTGAATATTGCGCAAATACCCAATAACGAATGATATTTTATTAGATCAGTAAATTTGTAACCCTACAATTTATGAGAGATGAACATTATCTAATGTTACGTGTATGGAAGAGAATAATAAGAATGACAGGGTGATCTAAAATTGAGATAACAGTGTTGTTTGATAGTACGTCTATTATTAATCAACCAAAACAATAATCCATAGTGCGAATCGTGTAACCAACAAACTACCTGATTAGCATGTGTCAAGGTCAAGGTCATATACTAAGTTCACTAGTAATTTATAGTTATTGTATACCCAGTTACACACGGGTTCATATTCCGTGCCGAAGGCACGGGATTTAAATATGAACCCATGCGTGTAACTGGGTTATTCATACCCATACAATAATAATGGATTATTGTATGGGTATGAATAACCCAGTTACACGCATGGGTTCATATTTAAATCCCGTGCCTTCGGCACGGAATATGAACCCGTGTGTAACTGGGTTATTCACTACATACCCATACAATAACGATAACTATAAAATAGCACACTGGCTGCGAAGCAGCCAGTGGCCATTCCGTTATTATCCGATCATCAGATCCGGGTATGATTTGCCCACTTTCATGGACAATAACATATACATATCTGACATGATTTTACTAATTAATTTAGTGATATGAACCGCTATGACCTTGTCATAGGCGAACACTGGTCAAGGTTTTTTTTTTGTTGGCACACAGAAAAAGTTTATAAATTGTGCGGTATCTGCACAGTAAATTTTAATCAAAAATTAACACTGGGCGGAATTACCAATTAAATAGGCGACTATTACTATCTGCGATGACGAGTTGTTTAAGACGACTGATCTACAGATACCCAACCTACCCAACCACTAAAAATTGACTACCCTTGAAAAGAAATCCAACGTTAGTAGATAGTTTTAAACAATACTAGATAAAATGCCGTGTTCCATACGGTTCAAGGCTCGAAGCTTGAGTTTTCGCCAAGCACTTTAGGCAAGATATTTCTTGCTCCATTGATGTCCCTATCCACAATTTTCACATACGAATATTTTCGATCCGCCTAATTTATCTTTCACACATTTCATAAATTTTCAGTATAAGTTCTTCCGCGCATATCAAAACATCGCAATTCGTGTACTCTCTAGACCTGTATATTAATTAAAAATTTGAAACTTGTGATGTGACCGAGTCATCAACATCCTCGCATTTTCTCTCTTCTAATACTATCTACTATTTCTTTGTTCTCGAACTGTTTAATAAAAATACTTTGCGAGTTTGCGATGGCATTGCTTCACAAAATTTTCAATCCAGTCGAATATTCTAGATATATTTTCATAGTCTAAATCTTTTTCTCTTAAAGGTTTATTTGCCAAAATAAATTTATCTATATCGCTTCTAAACTTATCAGTCTTAACATTTTATTAGTGAATTTCACACTACGTGAAGTTGATTAAAAATGTCCTGTCGGAAATGACTATCGGGAAGTTGATACGTTGTTATACAATCATCTACAGACATGAAACATTTTCATTTGGATATATCCTTATCGCTTGGTTTTTAGGGTTGTTCTATGTTCAGGTTTAGATCAACATTAATCTTGAAGCTTTGTGTACATTGGTTGTGAACCAACTAGGCGTTAGTTCTGTTTCAGAATATATCTCGTAACATTCCTCAGTGGTTTGTATGCTCTTATCCATAAGTATCCATAATTTTTGTGATAAATTGTCCATCACAGGGTTTCGAAATGGGTTGATCTCTTCTCAACTTCTTCATATTATAAGATCTGAACCATATATATGATATAAACGAACTTATTTATAGATATAATAAAGCAATTGATGTGTATATGTATATAGCTAAAAATATCATAGTTAATTACTATTGTAAATCATACAGCTATATTTAGATTTATTCCGACTTGGGCATCATAAAGATAAGAGCCGAATTTGCTAATCCGACCGGCAGTTACGTAACGAGTAGTAGATCCGTTTTAAGTTATATAATTGTAATAACCATGAATCTCTATTTGGTATTCATTATACAATTGTTCCCATGCTAATTTGTATTAAACATAAAAAAATTAAGTGTAATTCACTCATATATGGAATAACTGGTATTTTTATTTTTATTTTTATTTTTATACAAATCATAATCGGAAATAACATTTTAAGACAAGTTTAATTGTATAATACTGTAAATCGAACTAGCGACAAAATATGTGCAATTCAATTATGATTCATTAAATTTTTTTTTTCACATAGAATTACAAAGTTGTAAAATTAACGAAAGTTTAAAACATCAACTAATTATTATTAACGTTAATAAAATATTATTCATAAAAATTAATACGTAAAACTTAAATATTTGCATAGTGATGACAAATAATCGCAATTACAATAATTAAAAATAAGTAAAATAGTTATAATAAAAAATGGAGCTTTTGATAGCTGAATGTTCGTTCGTTTTCGCCAGGTGTATATTGTTGCCTAGAATAAGTACTGTACGTAACCGGATCTAGTTCTTTAACTATGATTTTCAAATTCTTTGATAGAATCATTTAAGTAATATAATTTCGAGCTTGATACACACGAATAGGACGGGTATATAAATTGTTTTGATAATGGAGACGGTTTCTTATAGCATTATATCTGTTTACCATATATGCGAGGTTTTTATATACATTTCTTTGGTTACGATTTTGGCGATGTTGAAGTAGAGATAAGAAATAAGTGGTGGCCATTCGTATAGCTCCCTTGTCATTAATGCGAACCTCATTACGGGCTATATGTTCAACGTTCAACGCTAATATTGCCCTATCGTTTATAATTTTTAAAGGATTTGGTACTAAATGTGCAATCTCTTCAATGTCATTGATAACCGGATTATTGAGAAAATTTGGATAAAATCCTATAATATGTTCAATTATCTGTTTGTAACTCATTCTCGCAATTTTTTTTTTTGATTTATTTTTATTTTATTTTATTATTATTATTATTATTATTTATTTTAGATTAAAGTGCGAAAATTTTCGGAGCCCTAGGTCTGAAAATGTAGATTTTATATTTTTTATTTTAGATTAAAGAACGAAAATTTTCGGAGCTCTAGGTCTGAAAATGTAGATTTTATATTCCTTATTCATATATATTTAATTATAAACACGAATAAACAATTGATACATCTAATTAAAAAAATTAATCAAGTCATACGTGATATATATATGTACCGATCGAAGGGTTCAGTGTAAAAAAAAAAAAAAAAAATGTAAAGTAAACCATAGTGATACCTGATTCAATAATATATTGTTGCTTAATAATATTTCTTATGATAACAGGAAAAATTATCTGTATCTAGTTTAAGCTTTTACAAATCGAAAATCACAAGTTAATACTATCTATATAAGTTTGTAACAGAATTTAACAACAATTAACGAAACTTTAGTGTACTAAAACATGCACTAAGAATTTATTTTTACGTATGTACGTACGTACCCACATACCTGATACGTATGTATGTACCGGTATGCATACTTTAGGATAGTTTTGTATGAGTGCATAAACCTTCTGCCAAAGCTGCGGACAACTGCGCTCTAAAATATTGGAATAATATGCCATTATATCAATTTAAAATGCGAATTATATAAATTATATAAATTTCTGCTGAACTTTTAATAGTGCAATAAACAGAGATGTCATTAAATAATACTGCGCCAAATTCCAAATAGATATCTTCATTTATCGTAATGTCCCTTAAAATCAAACCGAAAAAAAATTTTTCCGTTAATCGTCACCATAACAGATCTTCACGCGTTTCCACCTTTTCACACATGTTTCCACCCTAATACGAACAAGACGGTAGGGTTCACACTGTAAATATGTCTTTACTTATACAGTACGAACCATCGAATGTCTGTACTACTTTGTATGAAGGTTATGTTATTATCATAAGGTGAAATTAGGTATTCTTCTATCAACCATATTTTCGGTAAAGATTGTAAATCCTTAATTCAATAGTATCTTCAAAACTACCGAATCACGGTTTTTTTCCTTTTTTTGGTTCGAACTTGAAGAATTTCGGAATTTTCGGAATGCCTGCACTATACAGTTAGTAGTATCAAGTCATAAAGTTACATTAATCAAAAAATCGTTAAGCGTTTACCCATGGTGTAAATCTTTTAGATGATTGTCGCAAAAGTTATCTATATTTGTCGAACAAATTTTATTACCACTGACTAATTCAATTAAAACAATTAATAAAAGTTAGATTGTCCATGCATTTTGTAACATACTCCTTAGTTTGTGCACATAATTGCCAACGCACACACGTTATCGGTGCGATTAAATACTTTAATATTTCGTATGTTTTTAAACAACACATACATATATGAGTCTTGCCAAAATCGTAGTTATATCTCTGCAAAAAAATATACTAAAATTATCTGAAATAATAATCAAATTTTTTCCGTATAATATATTTTTTTGTGGCATGTAAACAAATATATATATATTAATTAATAATAAATTATTATTTTGCTATTCAATGAAAATCAAGGCCAAGCTCACATCAAAAAAAGAATCAAAACTCATATACATATATACACATGGTGTGTACAAATATAATTTTCTTTAATATATATAGGTAAGTCCACAACAAAATCATGCTTAGAGTATATATTTTATATATGCTCTAAGCATGGTTTTGCCGTGTATTCACTCATATAAATGTATTAATTAATTAATATAAGTTTGATTATATCGAAAATTTAATTATTTTAATATTAGGATAAGGGTAAAGTGCAAAGGTTAAGGTAAAACATAGCCTATAGTAAAATTTAATTAGAAAGATTGGTTTTATAGTAAAAATTTTGAGATATAGGAAGGATGCTCAAAATACATGGAATGCCATAAACAATACCAACTTTTAAAGCTAAAATTTCTTTTAGTTTGTATTAGAAAAACTATATAAAAATATAGGCTAGAAAATAAGAATAAACCATTTAATAATTGTTTTATAGTTTCAGGAAGAATTATGTTAGTCGTGAACCAGAAGTATTTTAATTCCGCTAGATTAAATGGTTTACACGGTTAAACAATTCTTTTCTTCTTTTTTTAGTTTTTGATCTTTATTAAATTCTTTTCTTCTTTTTTAGTTTTTGATCTTTATTAAATTCTTTTTTCTTTTTTAGTTCTTGATCTTTATAAAATTCTTTTCTTTTTAATTTGTTTTAAAAATTTTTTTTTGAGACTTTTAATATTTCTTATCTTTTAAACCATTCAGATAAGTAGGCAAATTTATCTGCTTAAATTTTATAAATTTATATCTGATCTATTTTTGTTAAAAATAAAAATATTATAATTTTTTTTATCATTTGGCAATTCTGCCTCTGTTTACTATCTATAGTTATTGCTAATCTAACCGAACAAAAGACTCACCTATAGCTTTTGCCTAGGTGCGACCTGCCTTAGTAGTCCTTGGCCTCCCTCCAGATTCTTAACTTACTAAAGACTTATTTCTCTTTGATTATCAGCTAATGACTACCTGCCTTTTCAGTACTATCTAATTATAATTATATTCCACAATGTAATTGTGCTTTGGTCATGATCAGTATTTGCAAACAATGCAAAGCATTGAATCACTAATCTTAAAATAAGATTATTATGTTGAGTACTCTCTATTCTATAAATTTTACAAATTTTACTGCTACTTAATTTTTTTATAATCTTCTGTAATTACTTCTACTCATTCTTTTATACTTTTTTTTCTTTTTTTCTGCAGGTAGTCTGCTCAGGTGTTTCAATTTTCTATTTGCCCTCTTCTTTTTATGTTTTTTTCAGTTTTTGAACTTTATTTTATTCTTTTTTCTTTTGATAATATTCTTAATATAGATTTTCTTTAAAAGTGTTCTTCTAAAACTTTTTTTTCTTCTAATTTTTCTGATACTACTCTTGATTTTTCTGCTTCTAGATCTTGGTTAATTTGTTCAAGTCATCTTTTTTATTTTTATTGAAATTTATACAATTTTTCTTTTTTCTACTTCATAGTTTTGAATTTCTTTTGAGAGATTTTTTTTAGACTTTTGATTTCTTGATGCTTTTAAAAATTTTTTTATTGTTTTAAATATAAAGTTTTTCTTCTTCCTTTTTCAATTCTTAATTCTTTAGAACTGAATATTTACTTCCTTTTTTTTACTCCATAGGCTTGTTTTTTTTCTGTGAGGCTTCTCTTGTAATCTGATATACTTTTCTAGATTTTTATTTACTTTTTTTGATTCTTTCAACTATTCTAAATATAATGTCTTTCTTTTTTTTTCTAATTCTTGACTTCTATTGCTTTTTTGTTGCTGTATTTGCAAAATATTTTCTTTATTTGTGCTGATGTCTGTTAGAGATCTAGTCTGTTTACTCTATTTATTCAAAAAATATTTTTTCTTTTTTTCCAATTTTTAATATTATTTTGTCTACTTTTCAAGCTTATTTGATATATAATCTCTACTATTTACTTTGATATTTTTCTTTATAGTTTATAATTTGTATTTTGTTAAGGTTCTCTCCTTTTATCAGTATTATTGCCAAAATTTTTGGTCTTGATTCTTTGAATTTCTTATCTAAAATTTTCTTCTCTGCATGTTCTTCAATATCTTTTTCTGTAATTCTTTTTTTTAATATTTCTTCTTTTCTTTAGCTTCTTGTCATTCTTGTTTTAGAAGCTTTGTTTTTAATTCTATTTTTTTTTGAATGTTGTTTTATTATCATTATTTCAACGAATTTTCTAAAGTACTATAATAATAATTCTAATACTATTCTATTATGCTGCCTTTGCTAGTACTTCTTTTGTTTATCTAGTCTTTTTATCTATTTTGTCTTTATTCTAGACCTTGTATACTTAATAGCTATTTTTTCTTTATTATATATAAATCATTTTTCTCTTTCATTATATATAAATTTTTTATAATTTTAATTATTTTTTCTAAAAGAATATGTTTCTCTGGGTTGATTTCTAATTGTATTTCTTCTTGATATACTGTATTGTTTCTTTTTCTAAGTTTAAGCTCTGTATATATATTTTTATTTATATTTAAGGTGAATCAAACCTTTAATTTTTTATTAATTTTTAAGTTTATACATTTCATGCATCTATTATCAAACTAATTTCAGAATATGAAACTCAGACTACTTTATCTATAATCTAAACCTATTAAAGTATTCTATATCTCTATCTATATCTTACCTAGTTTTTATACTTTATAATTAACTAATTTTAGTTATCCAACTGTATATCTTCATGATTCACAATCAAACCTCAGTAACTTCTAGTTTGGTTCACTCAGATTATTGGTCTCTAAAGGTTTCTCAAATTAATATACCTGTAGTATAGGTGAAACTAACATCTACAGATCTTAATATTCCTTTTTAATATTTCATATACTGCATATTTTTCTATCACTTATATACTTCTTTTTATAGAGGATATTTAAGCCATATGTGGTTATATGTTTTTGATTTTTTAGTTAAAGTTAGGGTAAGGGTTGGTGTAGGGTTAAAATAAAGATAGATCTTATAGTAAAATTGCCTTCTCAACATTTTTTATTAATGCTCCAAGATAGGATTAGATACTTGTTTCTTGTATTTTTGATAGTTTTCAATTTTTTTTCTTTGTTGAACTGATCCATATCGATCAAAATAAATAATTTAATTGGCTCTATATCACATAATGCATATAGCTTTAAACAACCTCTTTTTATAGTATTCATTAAGAACTTGTTTTGAGACATATCTTTTCTAGCTGTAGATCTTCATTATATATATTATATAACTTCTAATTTTGGATATCTCAACTCTGATTGGTATAGTATTTATACTAGTAAATTCTTAACTTTTTTGTTATAAACTTCTATACAGATGTGATCAGAGCCTAATTTAGTACTTTTAGCTATACAGAGACAGA